ACCAGATTTCATTACAGATGGGTGTGAGCCACCATGTGGTTGCTGGGAATTGAACTCAGGACCTCTGGAAGAACAGCCAATGCTCCTAACCTCTGAGCCATCTCTCCTTTTTTAAATGAAGTGGTATGAAGATAAAATAAGATAGTAAATGGAAGGAATATGATACATTGTAGGTGTTCAGTATCTACTTGAAAGAAAAGTTAATGTATAGATTGCCTAACAGGAAAGCTAGTTTGAACATCGATCTGCAGCCACCTTCCCTGATCCCCTCTGTCCAAATAGCCCTGCTTTTCCATCACTCTTTCTTGCCTTTACTGAGTCAGAAAGTCATTAGCAGATGCCTGGGACATATGAAACTATGTCTCAAAAACCAAACAGCAACAATCATTAGGTCTGCCTGTCTGTCTTTCTCTTTTTGAGACAGGGTTTCTCTGTGTACCCCTGGCTGTCCTGGAGCTCACTTTTGTGGACCAGGCTGACTTTAAACTCAGAGATCCATCTGCCTCTGCCTCCTGAGTGCTGGGATTGAAGGTGCAAGCCACCATTGCCCGGCTGCTGCTGCTGCTGCTGCTTCCTCTTTTTTTTTTTTTTTTCTTACATCATTACAGTGGCTTTTTCAACACCAATCCCCTGATTTTTTTGGTGCTTCAGTTTGCAAATGTAACTACATTTAAGCTTAAAAATGAATCAGCAGATGAGTATATTCAATTGGAGATGATAGCTAACTTTGCAGAAACTGGAATCCTTAAATGGTGTGTATTTATAGGAAGAGTATGGAGGATACATTGAAAGAGCAATGCTTCAGTGAGGAATTTCTGGGGACCACTGTGACTTTAAGGTTCCTTATTAAGTATTATTCTGGTGGGCATGTAATCCATAGCTTATCACCACCAGGGACCCTGATTAGGAAGAGCATCTGTTTGGAGCCAGGGCTCCTCCTCCCCAGTCTAATTGTCATAACAACCCCTTAGAGTTACTATCCTCTTCCTTCATCCACTCTAAAGACAAGAAATTGGGGCATACTCACAAGGACTTTCCAACCCCCGCCCCCCCTGCCTTGTTCTAGGCATTAAGAGCCCAGACATGTCTGGGCGGTGGTAGTGCATGCCTTTAATCCCAGCACTGGGAGGCAGAGGCAGGTGTATCTTTGTGAGTTCAGGGCCAGCCTGGTCTACAGAGCTAGTCTAGGACAGGCTCCAAAGCTACAGAGAAACCCTGTCTCAACCAAAAAAATGGGGTTGGGGATTTAGCTCAGTGGTAGAGCGCTTGCCTAGTCTTTGGGGGGGGGGGGGGGGGAGAAGAGCCCAGAGATGCCCACAGCCCTGTATTGGTTGGCTTTATCCTAGGAGCCTGTATCCTTTCACACACTTGACTTGAAAGATTTCTATGCAGCTATAAAAGATTATTGCTCAAAGAAGAGACTGGGCTGTGAAAACAGTGGAATCATGAAAGGGCAATGGTTTTGGACTGGTAGTTCCAAATTTCCATGTTGCAATGGAACGCACAGCAGGGCTGGATTCAAACAGAGCTAAGTCCATATCTCAGATCTGCTAGTGTTCAGACCTTGACAAATTACTTTACTTGTACTGTGTTGCAGTTCGCTTGTGTATGAAATGGGCACAATACTTGGTATTTAATAAGGTGATTGTGAAGGTCAAATCAGGTAATAGCACTTGCAAAATTCTGAGGTCATGCTAGGCCCAAAAAAAATACAGTATTGATTCCCTCCTCTTCTACAATTTGGTAGGGAAGGTTGAAGTTTGTGAGTAGCACCTAATTGGATTTTTAGAAATTCCATGTGAATATCTTTGATGTTTAAGCATAGCATTTAGCCCATTGCATTTAAAGAATTTATTGGCATACTCAGGATTTTACCTAATACAATATTTTATGCTTTTTCTATTTGTCCAATCAATTCTGCTTGTTTCTCTTTTATTTTTAATTTTAATTTGATTTTATTAATTTTATGTGTGGGTGTTTTGTGTGCATGTATGGATTTGCACCACATGCATGCATTGCTTTGGGGGGTGGGGCAGAAAAGAATGTTGGATTCCCTGGAACTGGAGCTATGGGTGGTTGTGAGCCACCATACTGGGGCTGGGAATTTGCAGGAACAGCCAGTGCTCTTAGCTGCTGAGCCATCTCTCCAGCCCCTCACTTTTATTTTAGTTTTGTAATAGTATCTTCTTTTTATTTAGTACTAGTTTTTGGCTGGATTTTTGTTTGTTTGTTTGGTTTGTGGGGTTTTTTGGGGGGAGGGTAGGATTTTGTTTCTTTGTTTATTTTGTTTTTTTGAGACAGTGTTTCTCTGCGTAACTATCCTGGCTGTCCTGGAACTTTGTAGACCAGGCTGGCCTCGGAAGGTGCCTCTGCCTCCTGAGTGCTGGGATCAAAGGCATGCACCACCTGGTACAGCCCAGCTCTAAGATACTTTTTAGAACCCCCTAAAAGAAACCCTACACCCCTTAGTAATTACTATCTACCTTTGCCCTCGAGCCCTAGCAAATACTCATTATTCTCTATCTTACATAGATTTACTTATTATAGTTATTTAACATAAATAGAATCATATAATCTATGACTTGTGTCTGGTGCTTTCACTTAGAATAATGTTTTAAAAGTTTGTCAGCATGGATAGCATATATCAATATATTATTTCTTTGTATGGTTTAATAATATCCTTTTGGGGGCTGGAGAGATGGCTCGGTGATTAAGAGCACTGACTGCTCTTCCAGAGGATCCAGGTTCAATTCCCAGCACCCACATGACATCTTACACCTGTCTGCAACTCCAGTTTCAGGTGACCCGACACCCATGGCAAAATACCAATGCACATTAAAAATAAAAATTAAAAAGGGGTGGTGGTGGCTGGAGAGATGGCTCAGAGGTTAGGAGCACTGGCTGCTCTTCCAGAGGTCCTGATTTCAATTCCCAGCAACCACATGGTGGCTCACAACCATCTATGATACCTGGTGCCCTCTTCTGCTGTGCAGGGATACATGCAGACAGAACACTGTATACATAATAAATAAATAAATTTTTTTTAAAAGTGCCGGGCAGTGGTGGCGCATGCCTTTAATCCCAGCACTTGGGAGGCAGAGGCAGGTGGATCTCTGTGAGTTCGAGGCCAGCTTGGTCTACACAGCGAGTTCCAGGAAAGGCACAAAACTACACAGAGAAACCCTGTCTCAAAAACAAAACAAAACAAAACAAA